TACGTTCTTTGATACGTTCTTCTTGTAATTGAGTGGCGTTGAGTAATTTTTCTCGATTGTGATTTTTTTTTTCTTTATAACGAGACAACAAATATCGTCACTCCCTACGTATAATCCCGTAACTCCAAAACGCAAATTTTAGAGGAGAGCAGTTTAAAAGTTTGAAGCTTCATATAGTTTCCCTAGTTAAGGGATCTTTCGGTTTTAAATTTTTACCTTACTTATGAATATTTTTTTTTAATACTTGGTGACCACAAAGAACATGACTTTCTGAGTGTCACTATGCAATAAACTGAAAATCCCATATGTGACACTTATGTAATTATACGTAGGGAGTGACGATATATATTTTGAAGAGGAGGAAAAGAAAAAAGAAAAAACTAAGCTTGTGCGAAACGAACAGGCCGTGTTTGCAGCGCGCAAAAATAAACAATCGCGTCGCGCATTGAACAAGAAAATTTCGTTTTGTTGTGCGTCGCACAAGACGTAAACGCGCGTGAATAAAGAAGGGTAACACGAGCGAGCAATTGGAACCAGAGATAAGAAGGGCATGGATCGGGGCAATTATCAGGAAAATCGTGTGTAACTCTTAATTAAAATTAGAGCGACTCTCTCGCGATCGCAGCGGGATCGCTAGTGGAAGAAGAAGAAGAAGAAGAAGACGACGACGACGACGACGACGGAGAAAAGGAAGAAGATGACGAAGGGGAAACGACCCGCGCTCTCGAATTCTCGTTGGATCCTACGGCGAGGACTTTGCCTATACACACACACACACACACTCGAGCGAGAGGATCTCTGCGGGTTTCGTCGGTAGTTCGCTTCGTCATATTTATTGAGATTCAAAGTTTTACGATCGGCGCAAATGCGCGTCCGGGGAGCCTCCGCCCGACTGAAATTGCGCGCGCTTGTCCTGTCAAATGTTTCCAGACGTTTTGCATCCGCGTATTTGCAATATTATAAACTACGCGCGCGCGCGCGCGCGCCGAGATAAATGTGCGCGTACGAATTATACGCGCGCGGGACACGACGTTGAACATCGTCGCGAGTTGGGAATTATATTACGGCTCGTAAATGAATTTAATAAACTTAATTGATCGGGTGACGACGATTTAATGTGTCATCATTTTATTCGTTCGAGCGAATTATGCGATTTGCCTTTTTTTTTTTTTTTTATCGCGGCGATACTTTAATCCCGCGTCGCGCGCGCCAAGTAGTACGCGCGGAGCATTGGTCGGCCGTGTGCAATTTCTAAAAACGTTTCAGCAAGTTCGTGCGAAAAGAATCGCGCTAATGCGACACAAAAATTTAGAATTTTTTTTTTTTATCGATTTAAAAAGATTCGCACGAAGACGAAACGCAACGAGCGTCGTAGATGACGCGAGAGCAAAGTCACAGGAAGAGGCGAAGAGAGAGAGAAAGAGAGAGAGAGCATCGTGAAACGTTACGGCAAACGGAGCGGCATTATTTCAGAAAATATCTGATCGGTCGTGACGTCGCGCAGCGCGCGCGCGACACAAGCTCGCGTACGGTGCATGTAGCTACACGTGTTCGACGCACTTTATCGCGCATAATTAATCCGGACTAGTCTCCGACGAGAGAGCGCGATGAGTGAGTCCGCGCGCGCGCACGAGAGAAATGCAATTTTCTACGCTACGTGTCCTGTAGCGATGGTTTTAAATTTAGCTTTGGCAACGCGAAGGAAATTGCACAAGCCTTTTGACGCGGCGTTTTGAGCGCAGGTTTGTATCAATTTCACGAAATAATTGAAAATGATAGAAAAAACAATTGCTGGAGAAAAAATAAAGAATATTCTTTTTTTCATTACTTTACAAGTTCAGAAATTTCAAGTATCTTCACGGAACATTTTCAAAGACTTTTAACGAGAAAATTGATTCAAACGGAGAAGAGAAATGGTTGAAGATGCGCTCGCGAGAAAAATAAGGTACAATCATGGGACAACGATCGTGCCAAGTGCACGCGCAACACAGCTCGCATACCTTATACTTAGCATCACCGGACAGCGCGCGTAACAGGACGAAGCCCGCGATCCCGGGCCTAGGTCGAGCTAGGATAGGTGTAACTTGCGCGTGACTCTTAATCCGATAATCGGTGCCGTGCGCACGCATCCATTGCTCGCTCTCCCCTCTCTCTCCCCGTGCACCTTCTTGCGGGTTGAGACCAGGTTCAGCGTCTCGAACAGATCGAATTGACTTGCTCTGTCCGCTCGGCCATTACTTGGTCATGACTGTCAGCTCGCGAATAATATAATAAATCACTCGGCCGAGACGAGAAAACGATTTCAGGGCAACACTTCCGAGCTGCCGTGCTACGTTTCCAGCCCGCGAGCTTGTTCGTTGTATCTCTCTTTCTCTCTCTCTCTCTCTCACGCGCGCGCGCGTACGTACTTACATACGTAGTCTTACGTTCGTGCTTAGGTGAATATCAGCGGCGTCGCGATCTCACGACTTCCATGTTTAGCGGAGGTACTCTTCTCTCGGCTGTTTGCCGGTCGCGCGGCAGGAGAAGTTGCGCGAGGATACGTACGACAACACACACCGCATCGATCGTGTTCGCCCGCTCTCATGTTTTTCCACTTGAAATTGTTATGTAATTCCGTGGGCATTGATCGCCACGCCGAGGCGAGGCGAGACGAGACGAGACTCGCCGAGACAAGAGGATCCTGACTACACATCTCGCTTGTATATTGTTCTTTTTTATTAAAAATTTCCCCAGAAGATTGCTCGACGCGACAGACTTACCATGTAATGCGATTGCAAATAAATTTAGTTTTTATTTACAAATTCAACTTGCGCGAGAAAACAAAAACAAAAACAAATTAATCCGCTTAGCAGAGCGTGGTTTCGATCCACGGACCTCTGGGTTATGGGCCCAGCACGCTTCCACTGCGCCACTCTGCTGTTGCATCGCACAAGATGCAGATGCTTATTTAAACGCAAACATACAATTTTTTCTTTTTTTTAAGTGTAAAAACAAATTTTTCGCCTTTAATGCGATAATAAAATACGCGACGCAATGTACACTTGAAAAAAATAAAAAAACGGATGTAAAAAAAAATATTACCTAGCAGAGCGTGGTTTCGATCCACGGACCTCTGGGTTATGGGCCCAGCACGCTTCCACTGCGCCACTCTGCTGTTGCATCGCACAAGATGCAGATGCATATTTAAACGCAAACATACAATTTTTTTTTTTTTTTAAGTGTAAAAACAAATTTTTCGCTTTTAAGGGGATCCTAAACTGAATTTGTTTTATCGACCGAATTTACGGCGTATGGCGTCAGATCGTCGTAATAATTTTTTAATATAAAAAGTTGTGCAGTTTGTACAGTAGGGAGCACCATATCGTGCGGCTCCGGGGGAAATATTTTTCGGAAATTTCTCCTTTGGATGCTTTACACTATCGCATCCCGTTCTTCTTCGGTCTCCGCCAACGGTCCGAGATCGAAGGAGAAGAGCGCGCAGTAATAGGAGCAGCTAAAGAAGAAATTTTCGAGAAATACTTCCCCTGGAGCCGCACGATATGGTGCTCCCTACTGTACAAACTGCACAACTTTTTATATTAAAAAATTATTACGACGATCTGACGCCATACGCCGTAAATTCAGTCGATAAAACAAATTCAGTTTAGGATCCCCTTAAAAGCAAAAAATTTGTTTTGCTCCCTACTGTACATAGAAAACCAACTGCGTCCCGTTTTCGGAACAACATAAAGAAAAATATAGAGCTCTCAGAAATGTTTTTATAAGGTTAGTGTAAATAAATAGTGTGCGTGAAATGATAAATAAATAGTGTGTGTATTCCAATATTGCACGGAAAAAAGAAATAGTTTCTACCACAGCTAATTACGGTTTGCTGAAACTGAATTTGCTGCTGTAGCTATAAAATTTCCTATTACATAGAAACAGTTTGCTGATATTCCTAAATATGTCGACATAATAGCAAAATATGTATGTCTTGTAGCACTAAGAGCTTAGCTGTCCATAATACTACCAAAATTTAGGAATCAAACCTAATTTTTAGCTGTGAGAGCTAACTTTTTTTTCCGTGTGTTCTGAAAATATTCATGCACGCTATTTATTCATACCAGGCTTCTAAACGCATTTCTGAGAGCTCTATATTGTTCTCTATGTTGTTTCGAAAACGGGACGCAGTTGGTTTTTCACGTGCAAACTGCATAACTTTTTATATTAAGCGAATATTATTACAATCTGACGCCAAAAGCTGTAAACTTAGTCGGCAAATCGACGGAGTTCGTCAGTTTAGGATCCCCTTAATGCGATAATAAAATACGCGACGCAATGTACACTTGAAAAAAATAAAAAAACGGATGTAAAAAAAANTATNACCTAGCAGAGCGTGGTTTCGATCCACGGACCTCTGGGTTATGGGCCCAGCACGCTTCCACTGCGCCACTCTGCTGTGCTGATAGATCGTGCGTTTAGAACGGCTTTCCGTTTGTTTCATTTAAAAAGAGATTGACACAAAGTACATCTCTTCTAAATATTTTATTTTCGTTTTGCGGCAATCATATTGTTACGCGCTGTGTGATTTTCGCAAGTGGCACCGGTATATCGCAACCGAGATTGCGAGCAGCGGATCAGCGCTCGAGGAAAACGGTAGTCGAAGAGTTAATCGCAAATAATGACCCCGGTGCACGTTCGGCGCACGTTCGTGACACACGGCAAGAACGTTATACATATATATGTACATACCCTCCATGTGCGCGAATTCTTAGATTGGATAAACGCGAATGTGTGTTACAGGTTGTGTTTCTCTCGGAGCAGCAAAAAAAAAAAAAAAAGAAAAACGAGCGCGAGCGCGCTGTTATTATTTGACTCGTTTTTATAATTGCTATCTAAATTGCGAATAAACGAACGTTAAATAATCACAAGCTCAAAAAAAAAAAAAAAAAAAAAACGTCTGCGAATACAAACGAATCTTATTAAAGATGTTGTTTCTCTCTTCTGTTTTTTTTTAGTCTGACATCGTCCATCAGAGTGTCTACGAACTGGTGCACAGCGAGGATCGGGAGGAATTGCAGCGGCAATTAATGTGGAATTCCTTCCTGCCTGCCGAAAGCGCGAGTCTGCCGTTGCACGACGCGCTGTTACCTCAACATTGTCATCTGCTCGAACGCAGCTTCACCGTTCGCTTCCGTTGTCTTCTGGACAACACGTCCGGCTTTTTGGTACGCGTGTGACGTGAACTTGATTTTTGACAATTGATATATAATTCGCGCAAATCGAACGATAGAAACGATACGATATTTCTCGTATAAGCAAAGATTTAAATCTCAGAAATTTAATTTTTAATTTTTAAATAACAAAAAACAAACAAGAATGTACAATGTATTGCGATGAAAAACGCGCGCAAATTAATAACAATTTATCAGTTTATATTTGTTTCTCGTGCGTCCATCAATTTGTGACATTTATGGCGTAATCGAAATTCATTCCGCTAAAACGTCCGCTTACGTGAAAGCACGCAAAACGATCTCGAAATCTTTGCGGCAAATATGTCGGATAATTACAATAAATGGCATGTGTGTGCCGCCGGATTGCCCGAGGTGAGGATCGGAGTCAGGTATAGGTAGTAAGTCGTCGGCGCAACGTTCGCTTCACGGTTACAAAAGTGATGTGGCCAACGTACAAAACAGTAATTAATAATTTCACTGTCATAAAGAGAAGAAGAGCGATATACTCTCGTCTGCAACGCCGCAACTGTTTCCCCGACACGCTCTCTCGCGTAATTGCTTTTTTCCCGTCTTTACTCCCTTTCCAATCCTTCCGTCCCGGTGCGCGCGGCCCGTTGATTCCTATTTATTCTCTTCCCGTATTCTTTCCCGTGTTAAATGATTTAAATGTAAATTTATCGCGCAATTTTTTTCTCGCGAGAGAAAATATACAGATTTAAACTTGTAACGCGATCGCGGGATAAAATATATGCTCTCTACGTAATTCCGCGGTCGCGTAGGTTGTTCCCAACGTGACATCCGGTGCTTACGAGGAGGTGCCTATATCGTGGAATTTCGAAAAAGCAACTTACGTCAACGGTCTTAAAATCTAGGACGTGGAGCCGGCATTTCCCCGCGCGGAGCTGGACGTGTATAATCATAGGCCCAGCCAATGAAGCGTGACAGCGCGGCGGAGATTGAAACGATAATTCGTCCGGACGGCCGAGCTGTCCGTCGTTGGTACCGTTGTCCTGACGGCGTTCAAGAAAAGGTATAAATCAAGGTCCACAAACAAAACCAGGCGCGGAGGAGAGCGAGAAGGGTAGGAAGAAGGACAGAGGAGAGGGAGGTCGAGAGCAGCGACGTACGAAGAGCGCCGCGCAAAACACTAATTATCTTACGGCAAACACATCGTGGACGCGCACCAGGTCTGCGGCGGATGTCGAACGCGCGGCGTCACTCCGCAAAGAGGAAAGAGACGGGATTGAGCGCGTCTTGTGCGCTCTTTTGGGCGCAAAGAGTTTGGCGCAAAAACGTTGCCGCTTTGACGTTTATGAAAATGAAACTGTAATCGTAAAAGAGTTTACGGCGCGAAAGAGCCTCACCGGCCAACACCTCCGGAATCTGCCTTCGCTTTTAACGGCAGTTTTCTCGTGATGGGACACAACCTGGCGACCGTGCGCTTTTTTTGTCAAGCAGATCCATCAAGAACAATAATAATATAAACTTACTTTTAAACAATTAAAAAAGCATAAAAACAAAAATGTAAATAATTTTTATATCTATAAAATATTTTGTATTAAAACTCTTAAAAAATTCTATCAGTTGCCGATTGTATATTTCATTAACGTTATTAATATATAAATAAATAAATATAATAAATATATATA